AAAATCCCAAAGTAGCATTTAACTACATGCTTTATGCATTATAATATTCTTAATATTCTATGAAAACATATTACAACTAGAGGTACTGTAACAATGAACTCACTAAATAATACCCCCGCCTCCCGTATGAATATAATGACAGTATCCATGTTTTGCTCTGGAAAATCCAAATATATGTCAGATGAAAAAGTAAAATAGTAGGTGCACAATGGCTATATGTAATAAAAATTCTGTGAAAGTTTCATTAAATTTCCTTCAGTGGTATGAGAGGAGTTGCAGATAAGAGATGGGTACCCCAAAGCGTAAAAGACGGACGTACAGACGGACGGACGGGCATACTATTTTTTATGTATACCCTCCTCCTTTTCAAGCGGGGGTATAATGAACCTTGCCCGCATGAATTCTGCACAATCAATTTTTTTTTTAATAATATCACCGTCATCAAGCAGTGTTGATTGTTGCCAAGCTTGAGGGCGTGGTTTCATTAGTCAGGGGATAATAGTGGCTGTGTCTCGGGGAAAAGTCCTGGTCAAGGGGAACTAGAATCTTGCTAACACACCAATTATATATTTTTTGACGATGTTATTATACCAATATAAAATTAATCAAAAAAAAGGATTACGAATGACCGGGGATTAGCTTCCGGACTAACGCACGAGGATTAGCCCCTTAACATATTAGAACCGAAACAAAAGTAAAATCTAGAAATAACAGATAATCGAGGAATTAACTTCCGAAGCAGGGATTAGATCATTTGACTATCTCACGGGGATTAGCCCATTCGCAGAGATTTCTAGGGAATTATTCACATTTCACTGCATGACTTTTATAGAGGAAAAAATCAGTAGACGTATAAAATAAAAGGAGAAAACTAACTATTTATGAAATTAATTAATTCGTTTTCACATGATACGAACTCAAACAATTCTTCCGTTCATTGGATTCAAGCAAAATATAAGTAATAAAATGTATGCATAAATAAAGGACTTTCTATGAAAAAAAATCTTTAAACACCCTTGTCAAAGAGAACTTTAAAAATACATCTACCGCTAAAGCCTTAGAGGTGTTAAATTGTTGATACATCTAATCCTGGGAGATTTGCGTTTCTTTTGAAAGCTAAACATTTTGGTTGAGGATTTGAAATATATACTTTCTAAATATACATAAGCTGAAAAACACTCATTTACCATTCAAAAATATGTCTGTAGTTTATTTCATTATAATGCGGCTGTGGTTTATATCTACTCTCTATATGACAAGGGATGGGGGGCCGGGGATCCTACTCTGAGAAAGAGAGAACTTCAAGGAGTAATTTTGTTCTGGTGTGTGAATTTCCCTTGGAGGGAAATTCTGCTCTAGGGTACGATTCCCTGTGGGGCAGTTGGGGGTTGGCTATGGGGGAAATGTAGCTCTGCAACACAAGTGTCTACTTTCGGAATTTTTTTTTTAACAATGAGGACGAGGGTGCTCGAACCCGCCCTTACAGTACAGTATACATATCTCAATCAATCAGATGATTTTGCAAAAAAGTTAATTGGTTTAAAGTACCCTATTTGCAACAGTCGCAACTGAAATGTCCTGTAAATTTTCTTTGATAATTTAAGCAACGGTTGTGAAAAACATTTTAACTCCTGTTTTTTTTTATCTCTGTTAATTTAGTTCATTTGTATATTTCTTATAAAAAATAAAATTATTTGACTTTAGTGAAATGTATTCATAAACATTTTGTGCCATTCAAAATACTGCACATGTATAATACTTCCGGATCATCGGTTTTCTGCATAAAAACAAAAAATGAATAATTGTCTTCGCTTTGAAAGATTTTTTAGTTAATGTTTTTTTTAATAAAAGTACCTGATCAAAGATGCAATGGAATGTAAATATTTTAAAGAAGTCGTCATACTCCATTTTGTAATGAAGCGTATACGTTAATGCATTGGATTTGATTTAAAGTATTCATCGATTATATTCAATAGCTGACCATTATCAAAGGACAATATAAATTTTTCTTTTCATTTTGAAATTGGTCATTTTTTTGAGTGGTATTATCAGCGCCTCCTTTTGACCTTGTGTTATATTTTTTTATAGTTGTAAGTATGTCAAATGACAATTATTATTCTTGTTCAATACTCTAATTCTGAGGCAAAAAATTTGGAAAATCATAAATTACATGTAAAACAAGTAGCTTTGATATTTGCAAGCTATGTTGCAATCACCATATTTAAATTCCATTAATCATGCCGCTGCGACAAAGAGGTCAGTGATGCCAAATTGATAAATTTAAGACAGATTCCTAAATTTCTAAATTATTTGAGAGAAAAATTAAATATATATTTTCATCATGCAATAACTGTCCGTTATGAACTCATATCCGAGTTAAAATATTAAGCATTCAAGTGCCTATGAAGACAGGTGTCTTAATCGTTGATGAAACGGTGGTAATGAGTGAATAAAGGGCACAATAGAGAGGATTTTATTCGTTTTGGAAAATGTCCCCGTTTAGATACAATAAAACAAGAACTGGTGTGTGAATATTAATGAGTGTGAAATAGGTCCCCGCTTGTGCTGTGAAATGTGCTTAGCTTAAAATTAAAGATATTGATATGTAATCATTATATTTGTCATCAAGGTTACATAGTGATTAATATTTTAAGTCAAAAGTCAAAGAAATATTTAAAATGAAGAAGTCCCCACTTTGACAGTCTTTAACCCCTGTCCCCGTATGACACCCTTCACACGTATGTGTGTGTGTGTGTGTGTGTGTGTGTACATAGTCTGAAAATAATTTAATGTTTTAAAATCTGCTCTTTCGTATAAATCAACAATTTATAATGAAATAAAATTGATGATAAAATTTCCAAATTTTTGAAATATATGGCCCCAGTGTCAGTAGTTCTTGAGGGGTGGGGTGCACAATTGGTTATAATTGGAAATACATTTTCTATTTGTTACTCTGATCTACCTCTGAGTTTAGGTAAGCAGAGTAAGCAAGCTAAGTGTATACATGTATAGTTACTAGTGGACTTTTACGAGAAGCTCTGACTTTTACAGTTGATGGAATACTTGGACATTTAAACCTGTGTCATATACGGAGGTGCAGAATTGATAATGGATAAGAAAGCCTTCGAAATGGTCACAGGTATGGTGTTAGGACCTATTAGGCCGGGAGTTAAGGGTAGGTGGTTGTCGTTTCCTTCAAAGACAATTTATACAAATGAATGTGCATTTGAAAAATCCGTTATTTTCATTGAATTATACGTCGAGCTAAATTATCATATCGTTAAATAGCTTCCATACAGTGTCCCAGTGTACAAGTAAGCCGTCAACTGTAAAAGTCAGCCCTTCTCGTAAAAGTCCAGAATGATACATGTAAGCAATGGTGCCTCTTTCAAAATTGTAAATTTCACGGCCTCTGGTTTATAACACGAACCAAATACAATTGTTGGAAAGTTTTTACATGATACTCAGGTGACCTCCTCTTGTTGAGTAAAGTTTGTGTCATTTGTCAATAAGAAATTCTAAATACAGAGAGCATAGATCTTTCAATTTGCGATAGAATATTTTTATCATGAATTCCGTCGACAATTTTGTCAGAAGTGCGGTATGTTTGGATAACTATGAAAAGTAGGAAACTTTGTCAAAAAGTGTTTTTGAAATCGAATTAAAGTGAAAAGGCAATGTGCAAATTATCCATCCTGCTGTAAATTTCACCAAATCGGAGGTGATAGAAGAATAAGAAAGATTACAGAAACAATATCTAATGTTTCCAGTAGACAGGGCTTGTAACAATATCGTCTTTGTAAGACTCATTATTATAAATGTATCGAATAAGAACATTCTAATCATCCAAGGTGAGTTCGACCTACCATATCGATAGCGGATTCCTAAACTTTATGAAAATCTTTGAAAAACACAGATACACTGCCGGGTACAACATATGTTGTACCAAGCCCCTATCTTTACTATGACTAAAAAAAGTGCTGTGAAAGAGAAACTTCAGATGCACTGTGATACACAATATTCTAGAAATCGTGTTTATGAAATGTGGGTTCTCAAAAACTACAAAAACTTTTAGAAAATTTCCTCTTTGCTTGCCAAGATTTTCCGATCCGAATTCTCTCTACAATTTACCCTTGGCAGATTTAGTCCTTCCACGGGAATTCAAAAGTCAATAACATCTAAATGTAAGATTTTTTCAAAACAATAAACAACCATTCCTTACGAAATTTTTAAAAAAAAAAAAAAAAAAAAAAAAAAAAAAGCCATTCCTTAGGAAATCATAAAATAGGCTTTTTTGAATCACAGACAACTGTAATTTCAATATAAATAATTGACCATCAACAACATTACTTTGTTAAAAGTCACCCTGATTCTAACATAAGTACTCTGAGACTCCCCCCAAAAACTGGGAATTTCTTTGGCAATTAATCGTGCTCCTTTCTGAGCCATATTTTTATATTCGTGTAAAGCAGATTTATTCATAAATATTTACATTTTTGATGTCATTGTCCGAGATAAAATAACAAATTGTCAATGTACTTTATTTCCTCATCAATGCACTGGTTCATCGATAGGCGCGGTTAAAAAATGATGTGCAGGGCGGGACAAATGGAGAAAAGAAGCAAGGCCTGAAGCACGTGGATTGGCGGAATGAAGAGCATGTAAATGTAAAGAATAATTGTCCACAGAGGATCGTGATTTAGGTTGTAATACATTAATCTACCTTAATCATCCTTAATTGCTTATAATAATCATGTATCAAGTTTTCCTTCTTAATACTAAGGATCACATGCAGAAGATTTGTTTAAATGTTATGCAAGTTAATTATAGCCAATTGACAAAAACATTACTTTATTTCCATTCAAGAGCCTACAGAGAGGTATCAAAGATATACCATCGTAGAAATAAAAAAAATGATAAGAATTATAGAAATAAAACTCTATAGTCTAAAATGCACACAGAGCAAGTTGTTGTCGCTTTAAAATATTACTTAAGATTCGAGAGAACTATTTTCAAGCTGAAGTAAATTATCAATATTTTTTCACAGGTAATGATCCAGAAATATTTTAAATTTGATAACTATCTAAACTAGAAAATTTACATCATGTTTCTATGCTTTGATATTTTTCATTATAGAGTGAACAATCTATAAGAAAACTCAATTCCCTCTCGGCTGTATTGAGACTATTCCTTGGCCTCTTTCTGCCCTTCCCCCTCCTCTGCCAGACCAGACTTCAATGTGGAGACGAGCACCTCATACTTCTTGGCTTTATGTTCTTTCCCGTCATAACCAAAATAAGCACATCCATGAGTTGTTTGTACTTTACATGGAATAAGACTCCCCTCGTGGTGGACTCGACCCACGTACAGCCCCTCACCCACCCTCACAGCGTTGTGGGGGACGTTTCCGTTTGAGGCGCCCTCCCAGCTATACATCCATTTATGATTATAGCTATTGGTCAGATAATAGAACCATCCGCAAACCTTTTCTTTACCACCGTACGGAACACAGGCTCCACTAAGATGTTTCCCGTATTTTCCAGGTGTAAAGACGCCATCAATGTGAGCACAGACTACGTGAAGTGTTTTGCCGTCTGCCTCGTGTCCCCCTGTAAACACATCAGTTGGCAGGTAGCCACCTGTGCTATACCAACGACCGCTGTAAAGAACAGTTATATAGAGTATTAGAGATATTTATCAAAAATCATTATCTTGAATGAAAAGTATATATATATATATATATATATATATATATATATATATATATATATATATATATATATATATATATATATATATATATATATAGACTTAGTACTCACTCTATGCAAAAATCTCTATTCAGGCCGTCACTTTGCATTGTAATAAGAATATGAAAGTACTCTGTCAAAAGGAAATACAGCTAGAGTCATATATTATACACACACTAGATTTAATAAGCACGATTCCGGACCAACTTCATCCGTTTGATATAAGCTATAATGTAGTATTATAAATTCATAAAAATGTGTCCTGTTTTGCAGTTTTCTAAATTCACAAACATCGAGTAACATCGGGTAACTTGCAACAGCTTTTAATAATGATTTAAGAAATAATCATGCACAATCATGCACAATATAAGAAATATTAAATATGTTCTATATACCATGTTCTGTTAATAATCAGGTATGTTATATCCTGAAAAGGGGTCTGTTTTGGAAAAAATAAGCATACACTATATTAATTATATTTATATGAAGCCATTTTTAAAAGGTGTCTATTTTTTTATATTCCTTTAGGTTTTTTTCTCTTGTCAAAAATGATTTCTATATAGGGAAAAAAAATTCATCAACTTCTCAATCCAATTGCTTCCTGAATCGGGAGAGGGCAAACAAACATAATTTGAGGATAACCCAAGTTTTAAAAAATTAAAACGAGTGCCTCGGTGTAAGTCGAATTTTATATCCGACGATCTGCATTTTGACGTTGTTCCCGGAGAGAAAAGAAAATAAAGTTAAGCATATCGTATACAGGTTTTAGACCTTTCTGGTAGATTGAAATTTTTATTCAAAGTGCGTTAAAACTGGGACAGAATTAGCGCACTTTGAATCTTTTTCAAAGTGTTCCTAAATTTGGGACAAAATCATCATTCTTCGAATTTTTTTTCAAAGTGCGTAAAGAGTGTACATCAACATTTTTTTTTATTCTATGGACACGCTTAACGCACTCTGAAAATATATAATTAAAAAAAGATCTTTTTCAAAGTGCGTTAATATGGCATTTGTATACTGCATAAAATTGATGAAATAGATTTTTGATCACATGCTTATTGCAATTTGATAACCCCATGAAAATGCTGCATCTACATTTACTTGTATTAATTTATATATCATATATGCATGTTTATATTTATGTGTTTATGTTTCTTTGTGTATATGTAACCTTTCATTCAGAAGTTTCTAATTTATCATTTAACACTTGTATGCCTTGGTCATATTAATGCACTTTAAAAAGAAAAAAAAAATCATTTTTCAAAGTGTGTTGAATAACTTGGTCCCAATTATAAAGGGACATAAAAACAATTTCAACTGAATTTTTACAACCAGTTTTAATGCTTACAATTCTTAACTAAGGCATCATCTTATGATCATCAAAGATTTGAACATCATACATTGATTAACAAACGAGATACAGAACTTAAAGTTCTTCAAAATGTAAACAGGGCTCGTGCCTTGTTTTTGTTAACAAATAGAACATATCTGATTTATAACAAAATGAAATTCAGCAAATCACTAGAAACTGTTTAATTTTATTTAGAATTAACTTCTTTATTAAAATTATCTGTTTTGAACGAACATATATCAGTATATTAATTTATGTAAACGGATTATGACACGGATCCTATTTACATAACAAAGGTTAAGAGCTCTAAATCCGTCTTGTATCACGACAACTGAAGATCAAATTTTGGATGATCATTAGAAAAACCTTAGTTAAATATTTGTAAAAATGGAAAAATGAAAATTTTTGAAAATTTTAAGCTGAAATTTTTTTCAAGGAAATTATTTTTTATGCATTCCGGAAAATAAATTTTGAAAATTCAGCACTAATATTGAAACTTTCTGGAGGAAAAGTTCTTATAAAAAAATCGTAAATACTTATTAACGGAATATTTCACAAAAAATGTATATTATAATATATCAGATATAGTACTTTGATATTTTGTTAATGAAATTCAATGTTTATTCAAATTAACTTTGAAATAATATCATTAGGTATAAATAAGCTTAGATACATAATATGAAAGGAAATCGTCATGATTTTCTGGATAATAATGATGTGGTACATGCAAAAGTGCATGCTGAATAAAACGTGAAAATTTATTCAACTAGTAAAATTGTTTTGAATATACTACAGCTGCGATTGATAGTAATATATATAATAAGATATATCAGGTTTCGGTTTTCACCGCTTTATAAATCAGTGGACTACCCCCTCCCCTCTACAATACTTTTAAAAACTTAATTTATTTGTATTCTTGTTTTCAACTTATATTATTTCATATATATTTTTTATACATGTATTTATTATTATGTAATTATATTTAAACAATTGTTTTTTATATAGAATATTTATGTAATTAGGTTTAAAAATCATACCGATGAAATTTTTTCAATTTCAATAATACCTTAAAATCTATATTTTTGTTGCAATGCAATTGCTAAAGTACATTCAAACATGTTTTAAGAGGCCACCTTTGGGAACTTTGGAAACTGGTCACTTAAGACAGGTGGCCTCTTATTCCAGTTTGCCATTAAAATAGCCAGTCGTTAAAAAATGAACAACATTTAGCACTACAGTTAGATTCAAAATAATCAGAGAGTAAAACAGGTCAATTTAACAAAAGCTTTTATGTGTATATATATTAATTCATGTGCATTTAAAATATGTTAAGAAACCCAAAAAGATTTTGTTGTTGATATATTGAAATATTAAACTATTTTGATTATCATTTGAAGAAATAAATGTGCCTCACTTTAATATCTTTTAAAAATTATTTTGTCTCCTAACCCCCCCCCCCAAAAAAAACACTCAAACAGTTCAGTAGTTTAAAAAATCTAGAAAATATTTCAGTAAGAAAATATCAGTATATTCTGTAAAAAAAAAATGACTGTCATATGTTCAAGTAATGATCAGCGGTATAACCCCCCCCCCCCCCCCCACACACACACACACTTAATTTATTGGCAGTGTACTAACTTAATGAATTTATATTAAAAGTCTGATACATTCTTTTTTTAATTTATAAAGCTGTAAGAATTTTTCTTAATACACAGACACACAAATAATTTTAATCAGTTGACCAAGAGAGGTGTATTACGCAATTGGAAATCAACACAGGTGTCAGATGCAGTAGAGCGTAACTAATCCTTATTAATCGTCCCCTGATAGTGAAATGCACGCGTTAATCATGCCATATAAAGTGCATTAATTTTTTGTTTTCACAAGAACAGCAATTAGGGCTTCTACCTGGAATCAAAATCTAGAAGGTGTGAAAGCATTTATAGCCTTATGTATAGGGTCACATAGTATTACAGTAAACAACCTAGGTAATAATGAATGGATATCGTAAAGTACAAAATTTCTTAAGCTGTGGGAAAATTAATTAATTTATTGTTATTTAAATTTCTTTATTTTTCAATCGTCAGTCGTAAACAAATTGACTAAATAGTCCAAAAGGAAAACATATTTTTTTCATGAATGCTAACAAAGTTCAGCGTACGAAGGGTGATCAAAAAGTTTGCAAACTATCTCTATATCTAGAAAACCACAATTCAGATTAGAATGAAATTCAGTACACACATAGCCATACACAAGTTCTATAATAGCATATGCTGAATAAAGTTTCACTCCTTGTTTGTGACGTCAAAATGTGAAAATGACGTCACTATTTAGGTCACTTGTGACCAAAAATGGTTGTCTCAGTCGAACTCGTTCAACAAACGACTGTGCAATTTATTGCATATCTTAGAAATCCCTCTACAGTATCATATAATAATTTGTAGACAGTTTATTGAGAAAAATGAGTTCCTATAAATTCAATTAATGACTGGATTAATCGTTTTAGTGAAGGAAGGCTGATGGTTAAAAATGATACTTGTCATCTTGCCCATTGAAAGCAAGTTTAAAAAAAGATATGTATTTTTAATTAAGGAATTTGCAATCAAAGACCTCCAATTAGCACTTTGAAAAATAGTTGAATATTTGAACAATGATATAAGTATTAAATACCTAAGATATCGTTTACTTTAGATATTAAACATATTAGATATGATAAAAAGGATGCACCCATTCTCTATCCACCTTGAATAAAGGTCTCTCCTGAGACAGAAGATTTGTGTTTTAATGGTCGCCATGCTTATTTTTGGAAAGGATATTATTATCCACCCATTCTGTTGCCGAGATATGACCATTTCTGACAAATGAACTGTTCTTGTCATAAAAATTAACTCTCATGGAAAGAAATATAAAACACGGAAAAATCTTTCAACTTTTGTGACAGAACAGAGGGGGTCACGTGACCGCCAATATCACGTGATTCGCGCATGCGCAGAACGGTGGTTGATGTGCATTAAAATCGGGGAGGATTAATTTAAAATATTATCAAATTAAAACCAAATATTGTTTCTTGTACGGAAGTTATTCAATTAGTTTGCGAACTTTTTGATCACCCCTCGTATCTAATTTGTTTAATTGCTATAATAGGTTAAAGTTGACCAACAAGCATATAATTACCCAAGCGAATGTGTTTCAAAGATATGATAGAATCGCAGCAAGTGACGAAATGGCCGCTTAATACTATGTGAATAATGTCGTGGGTAAAGATTTGAGTGGCCGCTGGCCGTGTTACACAGGTGGTCGTTTATTTCAGTTAAAAGATATAGTAAAAATCGTCGGGGGGAACTGAAAGTGACCGCTGACTGCTAGTAGCCGTTGGTTTCGGGTGGCCGCTAAGACAAGTTTGACTGTACTAGTATATATTACCATAGAAATCAAATTTAATAAACATTATTTTACTTTCTCTCGTCTTCCCTAAAGTTAATTTTAATTTTTCTGAAGAATTTTTTAAAATTTAGAAATGTTCACAATGTTCCATTTAAATGGTTACATATTCTATTG